GGGTAAGCCAACTATCAAGTCAAAGGCATGTTGGAGAAACTTGGCCAGTTGTCCTTTAGCATGTCCCACTTCATTCAGGACTTTTCTGATTGCTTCCTTGTGGTGCCATTTAATTTGTTTTCTGCCTGCCCTTCTCCCATCTTCTCTTTCATTTTCCGTAAACTAGTAAGTTTAAGAAAGCTCACAATGGGGATGGAACTAGAGGGTATTATGCTAAGTGAAATAAGTCAGTTAGAGAAAGACAAATACCATATGATCTCACACATATGTGGAATTTAAGAAACAAAACAGATGAACATAGGGGAAGGGAAGGAAAAACAAAATAAGATGAAAACAGAGAGGGAGGCAAACCATAAGACTCTTAACTCTAGGAAACAAACTGAGGGTTGCTGGAAGGTTGGTGGGTGGGGGGATGGGGTAATTGGGTGATGGGTATTAAGGAGGGCACTTGATGTAATGAGCACTTAACTAAATTGAATTTAGATAAAAAAATTTAAAAAAGATTCAGGATCAACAATATAGATTTCAAGGTGGGACTACATAGTTCACATTATATCACATTAGGAAACACATGATGTCTGATTATCCAACTTTTAATGGTGCTGGTCAGTAGGCTCATGTGGTGGTAGACTGACTTCCATGGTCAAGTTTCCATCAACCTTTCTCATAATATTTACATTACTAATGATCATTGCTTGAATATTATTTGACTAGTGTGGCTTTAAGTTCTATCATTTCATCTATATTTAATAGCTGGAATTCTTCGGTAGAGAAGAACTTTCCCCCATCAACCAGGATTATGTGGTTATTCTGAAAAATTGTCTCTACTGGTCAGGCAGGATAAATACTTAATTCTTTCCCATTAACTACTAATTTTCAGAGGAAGGAGTTGGTGTCTTAGCACCTCCAAGAATAGCCAATAATTACTTTTTTGTTCTCTTTTATATTTTTGGTCTGCTTGCTCACTCATCACCATGAACTCACATATTACATATGCTTAGTGTGTTTCAATCCATTGTAGTCTTTCTTGTTGATGTCAGAATTTGATGTTTTAGTCAGTGGTCCCTTAAAATTGACTACTGTGCCCCATTCAAATGACCCTGTTTTTTTGATTTTCCTATCCCAGACATGGAATTGGGAATTTCTTTAAAGAGCCCTGATACTGGGCAAAGAAGAAGTCAAACTCTCACTCTTTGCAGGTGATATGACACTTTATTGTGGAAAACCCAAAAGACTCCACCCCAACACTGCTAGAACTCATACAGGAATTCAGTAAAGTGGCAGGATATAAAGTCAATGCACAGAAATCAGTGGCATTCCTATACACCAAAAACAAGACAGAAGAGAGATTAAGGAGTTGATCCCATTTACAATTGCACCCAAAACCATAAGATACCTAGGAATAAATCTAACCAAAGAGGCAAAGAATCTGTACTCAGAAAACTAGAAAATACTCATGAAAGAAATTGAGGAAGACACAAAGAAATGGAAACGCGTTCCATGCTCATGGATTAGAAGAACAAATACTGTGAAGATGTCAATGCTACCTAGAGCAATCTACACATTTAATGCAATCCCTATCAAAATACCATCCACTTTTTTCAAAGAAATGGAACAAATAATCCTAAAATTTGTATGGAACCAGAAAAGACCCCGAATAGCCAGAGGAATGTTGAAAAAGAAAAGCAAAGCTGGTGGCATCACAACTCCGGACTTCAAGCTCTATTACAAAGCTGTCAGCATCAAGACAGTATGGTACTGGCACAAAAACAGACACATAGATCAATGGAACAGAATAGAGAGCCCAGAAATGGACCCTCAACTCTATGGTCAACTCATCTTCAACAAAGCAGGAAAGAATGTCCAGTGGAAAAAAGACAGTCTCTTCAACAAATTGTGTTGGGAAAACTGGACAGCCACATGCAGAGAATGAAACTAAACCACTTCCTTGCACCACACACAAAAATAGACTCAAAATGGTTGAAAAACCTAAATATGAGACAGGAGTCCGTCAAAATCCTAGAGGAGAACACAGGCAGCAACCTCTTCGACCTCAGCCACAGCAACTTCTTCCTAGAAACATCGCCAAAGGCATGGAAAGCAAGGGTAAAAATGAACTATTGGGACTTCATCAAGATAAAAAGCTTTTGCACAGCAAAAGAAACAGTCAACAAAACCAAAAGACAGCCAACAGAATGGGAGAAGATATTTGCAAATGACATATCAGATAAAGGGCTAGTATCCAAAATCTGTAAAGAACTTATCAAACTCAACACCCAAAGAACAAATGACCCAATCAAGAAATGGGCAGAAGACATGAACAGACATTTTTCCAAAGAAGACATCCGAATGGCCAACAGACACACAAAAAAGTGCTCAACATCGCTCGGCATCAGGGAAATCCAAATCAAAACCTCAATGAGATACCACCTCACACCAGTCAGAATGGCTAAAATGAACAAGTCAGGAAACGACAGATGTTGGCAGGGATGTGGAGAAAGGGGAACCCTCCTACACTGTTGGTGGGAATGCAAGCTGGTGCAACCACTCTGGAAAACAGTATGGAGGTTCCTCAAAAAGTTGAAAATAGAACTACCCTACAATGCAGCAATTGCACTACTGGGTATTTACACCAAAGATACAAATGTAGGGATCCGAAGGGGTACATGAACCCTGATGTTTATAGCAGCAACGTCCACAATAGCCAAACTATGGAAAGAGCCAAGATGTCTATCAACAGAAGAATGGATAAAGAAGATGTGGTATATATATATAATGGAATATTATGCAGCCATCAAAAGGAATGAAATCTTGCCATTTGCAACAATGTGGCTGGAACTGGAGGGTATTATGCTGAGCAAAATAAGTCAATCAGAGAAAGACATGTATCAGATGATCTCACTGATAGGAGGAATTCTTAATCTTAGGAAACAAACTGAGGGTTGCTGGAGTGGTGGGGGGTGGGAGGGATGAGGTGGCTGGGTGATAGACACTGGGAGAGTGCTGTGAATTGTGTAAGACTGTTGAATCACAGATCTGTACCTCTGAAACAAATAATACATTATATGTTAAAAAAAAAAAAAAGAAGATAGCAGGAAGGGAAAAGTGAAGTGGGGGAATCAGAGGGGGAGACGAACCATGAGAGACAATGGTCTCTGAGAAACAAACTGAGGGTTCTAGAGGGGAAGGGGGTGGGGGGATGGGTTAGCCTGGTGATGAGTATTAAAAAGGGCACGTACTGAATGGAGCACTGGGTGTCATACGCAAACAATGAATCATGGAACACTACATCAAAAACTAATGATGTAAATTTGGTGATTAACATAACATAAAAAAAAAAAGAGCGCTGATACCTTTTGCGGGGCAGATAATAATAATCTGGGAGCCAGAAGTGCCTGTTGCTGCTGAATTGTCACTTATTTCTAGGTCTCTTCAGGGAAAAAGTCAGTAACTACATATTTAAGAAACAAAATTTGAACTAACTCTTACATTTCCACTTAAAATTTAACATTAAATAGCTTTAACTTAATATTTTTCTCTTATACTGAAGGTTTTGTTCTGACCGTATAAACATACTCATTTATTATATCCACGACAGCTGAAAACTTAAAATGCCAACATTACCATTAACAAATGAAACCACAGAATGACGTTTACAATTTCTTTGCAGTTCTTTTTCTCTAAGGGTCCTCAGTCCAAACATGGGGTTCTGAAGTCACTCCCCAATTTCTTTTCTAAGTAATTATGTCATAATATGATATTCAGTTATGTACACTTATTTCAGCTAGTTTACAAATTCTAGGTTTTGTCTTTTTTTCCTTAATTTTCTTTTTTCCTGTATTTCTAGAGAGAGTTAATCTTTTACTTCTCAATTCTTATAATAGCAGTTTATAAAATTGGGAAATTAACCCTCCTCCTATTACTGAGGTATAACTATTTCTCAGTTTTATATATCTTTTCGCTTTGCTTGTGTTTTTTTTGAACCAGGCAAAATGTTTATTTTTTGATTATTATGTAGTTGAATTAATTGCTTTTGGGTTTTAAGGCAGAGTTTAGAAGATCTCCCCTTTCCAGATTACAAAGAAATCCATATAAATTTTCTTCTTGTATTTGACTGGTTTTATTTTTAATATTTAAATTTCTAATACATTTGGAATTTATCCTGGTATAAGGTACAAATCCAATTTTCTATTTTTCCAAATGGCTATCACTTGTCCCAATATCATTTATTTAAATATCCACTCAAACAGCTGATTTGAGATTTTCATCTTTATCACATCCTAAATTTCATATACACTGGGGTGTCATTTGGACCTTCCCACCTGTCCTATTGGTCTATCTGGCTGTTTATGCATTGATACCATTAAAGCCATCCTGTTTTAAGTGCTTAGGCTTTAGCTCCTTAATATCAGATAGGTAGAGCTTGCTCCCCCTTCTCTCCCTTCCAATATTGCTCTTGTTCGTCAAGGTTTTCCCCACTATTCTTTCTTGTATATTTCTCCATATGAACCTTATAATCAACTTGTGTGGCTCCAGGAAAGAAGAAACCAGTCTGTATTTGTTTAGGAATCATCTTAAATTTGCAGATTAAACAGAAGTGAGAGCTTTAAGTTCTATCTTCTTATCTAAGATCAGGACATTTGTTCAAGTCTATTTTTATGCCTGTCAGGAGTGTTTGTAAGTTTTCTTCATACAGGCTTTGTTCATTTCTTGCTATTTTATTCCAAAGAATGTTATATTAATAGTTGCTACTGTAAATGGGGTCTTGTACTTAACCTTCTGATTGGATACTATTTGTATATAGGAAGGCTGCTGATTTCTTAGGCTACGTTTTAATCCACTTAAAACAAATGGTCTTCATTAGCCTGCTAAAAGCAAATAGAGATTTAATTTTTCATTTGATTTTGTTTGGTGGAAGGAATAGCACTCACGCCTTTTTCCACAAGCATATTACCACTGTAGGATTTAAGTATGTTTCACAAAGGAAGACAAAAACTCACCTTGGTGTATTCATCTTTGGCCTTGGTGAGCATTCGTAAGATATCTACTTCCTTGCCCTCTCCTGAATTGAGGATCATTGGGGAGTTTCCTGCTCCACCTCCCTGATGGGCTTTCAACTGTTCATATTGAGTTAGGCTAGAAAAATAGAGGGGAAAATCCACACAAGGAAAACGAACTCAACACAAATGGCTTTTAAAACCATCTAATTCCCACCCACTTGATTTTATCTTTTTTTTTTTTTAAGATTTTATTTATTTGTCAGAGAAACAGAGAGAGGGAGAGAGAGAGTGGCAGGCAGAGGGAGAGGGAGAAGCAGGCTCCCCGCTGAGCAGGGAGCCCGATGATGTGGGGCTCAATCCCAGAACCCTGGGATCATGACCTGAGCTGAAGGCAGATGCTTAACTGTCTGAGCCACCAGGCGTCCCCACTTGTTTTTATCTTGTTATAGTCATGGTAGAAGTAAAACTGCTTAGGAAGTGAAAGAAGAAAAACAAGAGTTGAGGTCCTGAGTATAGTGAGTACATGTATGAACCCAGAAGAGGGGTGGCCAAACCATGTTCTGCAGGCCAAATCCGACACACCGTGTGTTTTTGTAAAGAAAGTTACAAACAGCCACACTCACTGGTTTATGTATCATTTACATTTAAGGCCGGCTTTCACACCATGACTGCAGAGCTGAGTAGCTGTGACAGAGACCTATGGCCTCGAAAGGCCTGAAATACTATCTTTTTTTTTTTTCCAGAAAAAGTTTGCCAACTCCTCATTTAGAGCATTTGAAAGGACTCATTAATTGCTAAGGAAACCCAATTTAGAGTTCTCAAACACTGAGTAAATCTTATGGCAAATTGAAATTCCCCCCTTCCTTGTTTCAACGTGCCTTGTAGTCAAAGCAAAATTGATCTCAGCAACTCAAATCCTATAGTCCTCTGGCAATTTATAAACAATGAAGATTCCATTCTAGAAGAGGAGGCATTAAAACAAACAAACAAACAAACAAAAAACCAAAAACTGAGCAATGAAGAGTGTCTTCTGTTTTCCTGAAAACAATACAGGAGGGAGACCAGATGGCTCCTATATGGTGCCTGGGGACATTAAGAAAAATACCTTTTCCTTTTGTGTGCTTTGACTTTCAGCTGAGATTTTTATAACAGCCATGTCATTTATGGTAAAAGACATCTGAGAACTTACTGGGAGATTTAATTCTAACTGAGGAAGGGCTCAGAATCCACACATATCAGCTGCTTATTGCTAGTCAACAATCAATTTCCTGCCCCAGCTGTTAAGTAATTACTGCAGAATGCTAACAATTTGAACACAGTCTCTTGGCTGAGCCACAGGGTATTTTTTCATCTATATGAAATCCTGCTATTATTATCCGTTGTACAGTTTACAATAACATGAATGTGTTAGGAACTAGTTGTTATGGGGGTAAATACCAGTTTGAACACACTTAATCACCATCTGCAATGTGAGCTGGTTACCTACAATTAGCTATCGCAAGCTAGATTCTCAGAAATCTATTTATAAAAAAGTGTCCCACACATTTCATTTTTGGGGGTCACTTTTTAGTCATTTCATTGCCCCAGGATTTAAAATTGGAAAACGGTCCTTTCACAGATGGAGACGTGTTGTCAGATCTGCGTGGGCAGAAGCCATACTGTGTGTCTGGCGGAGCCCAGTCACCGGCCAGGATGCGGCATGTGTAGGAAACGTATTTCATTCTGAGGCTCTAAACTGTCCCCATAAAGCAGGGAAATACTGCGTGACAGGGAGCAGCCTCAGGGCTCAAGAACTGATCAAGGATTTGACAAGTCACAGAGGAAACAGCACGCTTACCTGGGCCTCCCTTTCAATGCAGTCAGGGGGCCAAGAAGGACAGTCAGACCCTGACTTAAGTTTTCCAAAACACAGGTGAGACAAACCACAAGGTATCAAGAGATTAAAAGAAAAAGAGACTAGCAGCAAAAAAAAATAAAAAATAAAAATAAAAAAGAAAGGGACTGCCTACCGATCACTAAACTAATATTAACTCCAATATTTCCAATAAGATTGAAAGTAACGTCTATCCTAAGTACTCACAGCATTTGAAATGTGAGGAAACTCTGAGGTTCCACAACCATGGAAATGCAGTTAAAGGAAAGAGTTTAGGGTGGGAAGGAAATGAAAGATTTTAGAGAATGTGTAGCAGCCTTTAAAATGTTCCGAATGTTCTTTTTACTGAAAGCTATACTGATGACTTTTCAGAGAAAAAAAAAAGCCCTGCTAATTTACAAATGAGGAAAATATTGAAGAAAATTGCCATCTGGAACAATTCATATTATAGATATTTCACCCATGCAGAACAAAAATGAGGTGAACTATTCTACATGATAAACCTTACCTAGTGAAAATGTAAAAAGTTGTGACTATGTTTATTTTTCATTTAAGTAATAGTAAATGTTTTCCTAGCCATGGAGGAAAGGGCTGCTGTAAGAGGTACAGTCTGCTAAAAATACAGTAGAGTTACACTTGAGAAACACAAACAAATGCATCACGTCCAGAAAAATACTTAGCCTTTCAGCACCTACTTTTTCATAAGCTCTGCAATTCTTTGGCATTCTTCCTTATCATAAAACCAAATCCCATAAATGGACACTGCAAAAAACACATCAAACAAATTATGAGCACCTTTAAAACTACAAAATGGAAAGAAATTCCCTTTCCAACTTGAAGAAAATACATACTTATGCATAAACAAATCCAATCACTGGAGTTTAAGCTTGAAAACCTAGTGTTGGAATTGTCTAAGCCCACAGAGAACTCTGGAGTGGTCTTATACATATGTGGGGACACATACTCCTCCCCAATAATCTGTGCTATCCTTAACAATATAGCACCTGAACGTAACAGGCACTTGGCAAATGCTTCTTAAATGAATGAATACAGATTGACGTGAAATCAGAATTTCTAAACTCCTGGCCTTGAGACGTCACTGTGTCCAGGGCGCCTGGGTGGCTCAGTCGTTAAGCTTCTGCCTTTGGCTCAGGTCATGATCCCAGGGTCCTGGGATTGAGCCCCGCATCAGGCTCCCTGCTCTGTGGGAAGCCCGCTTCTCCCTCTCCCCCTCCCCCTGCTTGTGTTCCCTCTCTTGCTGTGTCTCTCTCTGTCAAATAAGTAAATAAAATCTTAAAAAAAAAGAAAAGTCACTGTGTCCAGACTCCGGTTGCACATTTATACACATATTTCATCTTTATTGTGAAGTATCCAGAAACCTGATGCATGAAATTAGGCCTAGAAACATCTCTCCCTGCTCTTCTTCCTCCCAGGAATATGTTCACCGAAAAACTGGCTTTGTAAGCTGTAAGTTAGGACACAGTACAGGAAAAAATAAAATTCAATAACAAATCTCTGACTTCAAAATGCCTGTATGGAAAATTTATAACTGCTGAAAGATGAGATGTGACCATGACTTAATCATTTAGTAATGACAGAAAAATGTGGTATAATGGAGCTATGGATTCATTTAACAAGTTTCAAAATAAATTGTATACTTTAGTATGTGCCAATCTACATCATTTTTATAGCAAAGGCTAGACACTTCCAAAATACATTTATAATGATTGAGTTGAGGATCTGGTGGTAGTAATCATATAAATAATGCACTAGCTACAGATACATTTTCAAACGCTTCACTGAAACCAGCAGCAATGTTATGATAGGGCAATGAAAACCAACAAAATATATTTTTTAAAGGAAACACTTTTTAAAATTTGAACATTCAAAATATTTAATTCTCTGAATATTATGTGGTCATTAAAACAGCTATGATGCTTTGACAACGTCTTTCCCCGCCCACCTGACCAATGCCTCAGTGTGGGATTTCTGCTTCTTGTCAGTAGTGATTGAGATAACAAAAGCTTCAGGAAATGTCTTCTCAGTGCTATTTTAGGCAGATATTTTTAAAAGGAATCCCATAAATCTGAATTACTGACTTGCCAAAAGGTGGCAACGGGGTTTTAAACTTTTTGTATGATTAGTGTGTCAGGATATTTTACCAACCTACACATGAAGAGGGGGAAAGAAATGGAAACAACCCTCCAGCACTTTTTTGAATAGGACCATCTTATCCTCTTAGAAATACATACACATATTCCTCTTTAATACATTGATAATCTTTTGAAAAAAGAATATCTGAGTTCTGAAGCCTATGTGCTGAGAGAGCCTTACTATCAAAAAGAAATTCTTTCATCTCAAGATCATTAAATGTGTATCTTAAAACTTTTCATTCAAGGCTAAAATTAACAAGTCAGGAAATGACAGATGTTGGCAGGGATGTGGAGAAAGGGGAACCCTCCTACACTGTTGGTGGGAATGCAAGCTGGTGCAACCACTCTGGAAAACAGGATGGAGGTTCCTCAAAAAGTTGAAAATAGAGCTACCATACGATCCAGCAATTGCACTACTGGGTATTTACCCCAAAGATACAAATGTAGGGATCCGAAGGGGTACGTGCACCCCAATGTTTATAGCAGCAATGTCCACAATAGCCAGACTGTGGAAAGAGCCAAGATGTCCATCGACAGATGAATGGATAAAGAAGAGGTGGTATATATACACAATGGAATACTATGCAGCCATCAAAAGGAATGAGATCTTGCCATTTGCAATGATGTGGATGGAACTGGAGGGTGTTATGCTGAGCGAAATAAGTCAATCAGAGAAAGACATGTATCATATGACCTCACTGATATGAGGAATTCTTAATCTCAGGAAACAAACTGAGGGTTGCTGGAGTGGTGGGGGTGGGAGGGAGGGGTTGGCTGGGTGATGTGCTATGGTGAGCGCTGTGAATTGTGCAAGACTGTTGAATCACAGATCTGTACTTCTGAAACAAATAATGCAATATGTTAAGAAAAAAAAAGAAGAAGATAGCAGGAGGGGAAGAATGAAGGGGGGAAATTGGAGGGGGAGATGAACCATAAGAGCTGATGGACTCTGAAAAACAAACTGAGGGTTCTAGAGGGGAGGGAGGTGGGGGGATGTGTTAGCCTGGTGATGGGTATTAAAGAGGGCATGTTCTGCGTGGAGCACTGGGTATTATGCACAAACAATGAACCATGGAACGCTGCATCAAAAACTAATGATGTAATGTATGGTGATTAACATAACAATAAAAAACAAAAAAATAAATAAATAAAACCTTTTCATTCAAGATTGTTAGCAGCCCGTCCACACTAACGTTCTACTCTGACTGCCTACACACACCGTGACACACTAAACCACCTCAGCTCATGTCCTTGGAAGCACAAGTACACTGGATCACCGACATTCAAAGACAATAAATCTGAATACGGTTGTGTCTTACAGGGGTTTTAATCTTAGTTATAAAACTAACAGCTCAGTCTGCTTTTTTGGTTACAGTGATAACTTCCTTTCCTGGGAGACTGGGTTTTCCAAAACTATCAGAAAAGAAAGGTGGTAGGTAGCAGGGGGAAAAAACCCAGCATGACTAGGAACTTGCAGGCCCAGTCACAGAGGGGAACCAGCCATTTGTGCCTCATCTGTAGGATATATTAGTAGAAATGCTCTGAGTGTCATTTTGTTTGTTTGTTTGATGTTACACATTTGTGGCATTTGACATAAGGAATTCGGTTTTAGGAAGAGTGGGATGCCAAGGAAACTGTTGATACAAACAGAAAAGCAGTTTGACAATGTCATTACCATGAGATAACTGAAATGTAGATTTAGGGAGGAAAAATGCTATGAAAACATCTTTCAGATGTCAGCACAGAATGAAGGGAAGACCAGGTTTGTCATGACTATTTGAGACATTGTAGAGATTTTTTTAGGACCTGACCATTTATCATTAAAATAACATGACTTCAAGAGTAAAATGGGCTCATTTTGAAATAGCATTTTTCATCCCAGTTAATACTTGGTTTGAACGTAAAATGTAACTTGTCAGTGGAGAAAAAAACAGATTTACCAACAGTCCTGGCTACTGAAGGGTAGCACCAAGATAAAACGTTGAACTGGGCCTAAGTTTTTTCTCCTTAAAATAGTTTTGTGGCTTGCATTACATTCCAGCGGGAGAGGGGCCGCGGTGCCATGAACGTGCACATTCCAACCGAAGTTTTCTGCCTCTTAGGCCCAAGGTCTCCCAACCCCTGGACAAACCTATCACTTGCTGCACAAGAGGGTATATCAAAGCAGCTAGTGGTGATATATAAAAACCAGAGATCATCGTGCCTCAGGGAGGTGATGAGCTGACGGGCTGACAGAAACCATTAACTTCACATTTCAATCCCAGTGATCCTGTAAAAGCCACTGGGCGAGGGAGGCAGTGAGTGCGGCCGGCAAGGAAGAAAAAACTCGGTTGAGAAGAACCCAAAAAGAAGGTGTGGTTTTTCAAATTCTAAGCCTGAAAAAGTAATCACTGTGACCTGAATTTGCAGCGATGGTGACGTGCCGTGTGGACCTGTGGAACGCTGAAACGTTATTGTGGGAATGACCTCTGGGCTTTAAGAAATTACAAGGAGGGAAGCTCGCGAGGAGGATATTTATTTACTTGAAAACAGTGACCTAATAGTGCACATCTGGAGGTTCACCATGCTTCGAGCCTTCGGCCAGCCCTCTGCGCCTGCATACCAGCCGCTTCCCAGTCACCCCACCGCCGAAGCAGAGGTGAAGTTTAAGGGCACTTTGGTGCATGAAGCTCAACTCAACTGCTTCTACATCCCTCCTGGAGGTAAGAAACCCCAAAATGAATAGGAAGAACAGGTTGAAATGTACTCCAAAATATTCTAATGACATCTAGAATGTGTGACATAAGGACTCATCTTTTTCGCAATCCTCTTCGTATTTAATACAGGACTTTTCAACAGCACAGTTGGGAAATTTTTGCCTAAAATTGCACTGTCGTGGTCTATCTCATGCTTTGGAAATTCTCAATCAGAAACAAAACCAATGTTTGGGGCAACAGGCAAGGTAATATTGCCTTTACATAGCTATTGAAGCATCAATCTTCCCTTTTCCTTTTAAGTCTGCCTAGATGATTAAGGAAAGCAAAATCTCCCTATTAGATTTCATGTCTGAATGTCGTAGGTACACACAGAGCAAGACAGACAGAGCAAGCTCATTGCATCTGATAACGGTATTTTCTTCTTTTTTAATTTCTTCAGCAGAAAAATCTAAAGCTGGTAAAATGTTAAGAGGCTAATTAAGAGGTCATCAGAGGCAATATCAAAATGTCCTTCAATGCACATTCATTTAGAACTCTTGGATTCTTTTTAGCATGGAGCATTAGTTCATTCTGGATGTTCTTTGGGGATTTACCTCATCTAGTTTATGTTCCTAACAAGTATTTCTATACAATCTGTTCTTTTAAGACATTTATCATTTGTTCCATATTTTACCCAAAATATCTTTCAACTCCAAATCATGAATGGTAGCTTGCAATCTTTTAACAAGGATTCATGCTAATATTTGTGCAACTTTAAAATATAAGGCATATTTCCATGCAGTTAGGAAGTAGATAACACATAATTACATAGGTAAAGTTTAAACAGGCGTGAGAAGGATATCTGACTTGGCAACTGCTCTCCTTTCTCTCTCTCTCTTTAACAAGAATTTCACTCAAAAGCATAGGGATATAT